TTTCTAGATTTGGCCTCTATGAATAGATTTAATTCACCTTTTATTATAGCAATTTTTATCCAACTGTAGAAAATATCATGCATGGAGTCATTATCTCAATCCCAAATCAGTGTTTAATTCGGCCGACCTCTATCTTTACTATTCTTTGCATCTATTTCACAGCAAAGGACAAATATTCCAGGTCTTTTGAGTTTTGACAAATGTAACAACTTACAAACTGCAACAGCAAATAGAGATGATGGAATCAGGACCAAGAGCATATCATCATACAAATCAGAATACTATGCTACAATATAACTTGTAGAAAGCCATCACAATCTGCATTCAACTGGTTCAACTTTTAACCTCAGTTCGCAAAGCCCTAACCAGAGCGCCCCCTTAGTAAAATGCAAATATATTCCAAACGACCCTAGCAAATCGTGCCACAAAGGCTCAAACATCCAGCAAAAATAGTAAGAAAGCAAACAACAATCACCATTCAGGCTATTCTCTCATGATTCTATTATATAAGCTAATGAACATGGATATAAGCATAAGAATATAACCTGATAAAGGCCTTCATGTTATTGTAAATGGATCTGCCTTCACCAACAGCAGCAACAATAGTGCTGAAATTATCATCTGCCAAAACCATATCCGAAGCTTCCTTAGCAACCTAGACAGAATGACAAAGATGTGTCAAAGAAAAGTTCGATATTTGTTGCTCAAACAACAAGAAATAATACTAATTCGAAAAATAAATGCCCACATCACTGGTGGGGTAGGTAGAATCACATAAAGGTGAATCTCATAAGGCAGCAACATGGAGCACATTGATACAACATTGAACTGGATATTCTAGAACAAGATGGCCCTTGCATATTTCCAAAAAAATAAAAAACCAACATTTTACTGCCATGAAATTTAATTCTCAAGTGATCACCTCAGTCCCCGCGATGCCCATAGCAATCCCAATATCAGCCAACTTCAGAGCAGGTGCATCATTCACCCCATCCCCAGTCATTGCTACAACTTCACCCAAATCCTTAAGCAACCTCACTATTTCTTGTTTATGCCTTGGTTCAGCCCTCGAGAAAAGGAGCCCACCACCTTGATTTAAATGTTTTTCTTTCTCTTGACTCGAGAGCTCCATGAATTCTTTTCCAGTTAAGCTCCTTGAACTGATATTCTCATAGCGTCCAAAAACACCTATTTCACGACATATTGCCTCAGCTGTGTTTTTGTTATCACCAGTAATCACCATAACTCGGATACCGGCTGTTCTGCAATCCTCAATTGCCTGCGGGACTTCTTTCCGAGGAGGATCCTTTACCAATTTAAAGAAGCCAAAATTGTTAATTCATATTTTTCATGAACCTATCACAAGTGGAGTGAAGTAGAATTGAAAGAATTAATAAATCATCGAGGAAAAAAAAAAGAAAAAAAAAACACTCACTCTTAAGCCAGCCAAGCCAATGAAAACTAATTTGCTCTCAATTGAGGAATAATTTGCAGGGTTCAGGAGAAGCTCATGAGCTGGATGATCCTCATCACCATTATATGTGGCGAACTCCGGGAGGTCATCCCGATAGGCAAAACCTAGAACCCGCAGTGCGCTTGTGGACATTTCACGAAGGCTTTCCAGTATAACTTCTCTCAAACTCTGATCTAATTCTATAATAGAACCATCTTGCAACTGCACAAATGAGCTTCTTTCCAATAATGTCTCCACTGCACCCTGTTAGTTCACTATTTAGTTACTAAACAGATATGAAGCAAAAAACTAGAAAGTTTGCATCTTTAGGGCAGGGGCAGTATTAGGAATACCAATTAAAGATTTCACATTAAAGCTAAATAACAAAGAAAACACTACTTCATGTAGCAAAAAACTACTTGGCAGATCCCAATATAAATCAGAAAGACAGGATGTCGAAAAAGATTTACCTTTACAAGCAAGGACTTTTTCCCAGAGCTAGAACTCACAATGACTCCCATTGATTTTCTATCACGATCAAATTCGAGGGTGGCAATACGATGATCAAGTTTATTCCAAGCGTAGGAGCACCCTTATATGAGCAAATTGGAAGTCACAAATAAGTACATAAACTAAATAGATTCAACAATTATTTCAATTTGGGATAAGAACTTACTCAAGACACCATCATATTCTGAAGAGGTGCCAGAATTTAATTCATTTGGAAGCCCCATTTTCTCAACCAGAACCTGAAAATACAGTTGTGATAAGTGCATGTCTTTCATGAATATACCAATGCCTACATACAACTATACGGAACAATAACAGTGTGCCTCAGTCACAATGCATCACATATCACCACTAAATCAATCCGAACAAAACACACACACACATATATATAAATAAACAATACAATGAAAATAAATACAATACAAACTTCAAATAAAGCATCCCGATTAACTGTACGCATCAAGACAGAATTAATACCTTAAGTGCCGCCTCAGTCGGCATCCCATTGGCAATGTAATGTCCGGATTTATCATGGCCAGCTTTTTCAACATCAGCATCATTGCAGACAGCAGAAACCTTTGCAATCATCTGAAGGTTAGAATCCAACCGACCTGCAGGCCAGTTCTCAATTCTCCCATCAAAAGGATCGTAGGTAGTTCCTTGCACGTCAAAGGACCGTAGAAGATTTGCCTTAGAACCCATAACCACCAGCTTAGCCACTGCCATCTGGTTGGTGGTCAGAGTACCCGTCTTATCAGAGCAAATAACAGTCGTGCAGCCAAGTGTCTCAACACTCGGCAGCTTGCGGACAAGTGCATTCTTGGCAGCCATCTTGCGCGTGCCAAGAGCTAAACAAGTTGTAATAACCGCAGGCAAACCTTCCGGAATAGCCGCCACAGCCAAAGCCACAGCAATTTCAAAGTAGTAGGTGCACTTCTCAAACGAGAACTTGAAATTCCTTGGCCACCCATCAACAAACTCCCACGAAAGGAAATATTTAACATTGATCAACCAGACCAAAGTGCAGATTACTCCAATTATAGCGGTCAAAACCTCTCCAAACTCATTTAGCTTCTTCTTCAGAGGCGTGTCATCATCACTCTGGGACGCCTCGTGAATCTGCGAATGCACCTTACCAATCTCTGTGTTCATCCCAATTTGAGTCACCAAACAAATGCAATTCCCATTCACCACGGTGGTCCCTGCAAAAACCATACACTTCTTTCCCTGAATATCCACATCTTCTGCAACAGGTTTAGTTGTCTTACTAACGGCCTCACTCTCCCCAGTCAAAGACCCCTGCTCCACCCGCAGGGTTGAGCTGATCAAGCTTAGAACCCTCATATCAGCTGGGATTTTATCCCCTACTCTCAACTCCACAATATCTCCCGGAACCAACTCCTTAGCCGGCAAATTAGAAATTTTCCTACCCTCGCGAATAACAGTTGCATGCTCCGACTGGATTTCCTTCAAAGCATCAAGTGCCTTCTCCGCATTATTCTCCTGCCAAACCCCGACTATGGCATTCACTATCAATATCAAGAATATCACCAAAGGCTCCACAAAGGCAGTGATCTCCATCTCCCCACCTTCCTCCCCATCATACCATGCCAGCACAAAAGAAACCACCGCTGCCACCAGTAAAATCCTGACTAATGTGTCATTAAATTGATCCAGAATTAATCTAAAAATCGAGGGACCCTCGTGCTTTTCCAGCTCATTGAACCCATAGATCTGCCTCCTCTTCTCCACATCATTGGCCGACAAGCCGTATTCCCTCCTTACTTGATACTTCTCTTCACACTCTTTTGTATCTTTCGACCATGCCGCATAATAGTCCTCTTTTGGCGCCTCATTAGAACCCAAATTTTCACTCCTACCATAACTCTGCCCTCCTTTGCCCATCAATGAATAAAGCAAAGAATAAATTCTCAATAACAATCAACTAGTCGCTAAATCCAACAGCGTGAAACCTGCAGGAGAAACGAAGAAGAAAATAGGGAAAACGATCAATGCAGCAAAACCAGAAAACAAAACCAAAAACTAAAGACAAAATCCCAAATTTGGAAGGGTACAAATCAAGAGAAAAAAAAAATATGTCGAGCACTGAACTATAAAAGAGTCTCTAACCGCACGATCTACATTCAAATGGCCACAAAAATATCAGATTAAACACACGCCTACAAATACAAAACAAAACAAAAAACGTAATCAGAAAGATCTACAGACATACACCGGCTTCACTAACGGTGGTCAGTGGCTCCCCGATCGGTCGAATGCTATGCCCACACACGCGTAGGACGTGTGTGAAAGGCTCAGAATCAAAGCGCTGTTCGAAATCTCAACCTCTACAACCTGTGGGAGTCTGTTCTATATTTAATTATCGTAGAGCGTGTTTTTTTTTTTTTTTTTTTTTCTCCGTGAGGGAATCGAAAAAGGGCAGAGATCTGCGCTGCTTTGCTTGCTAAAGACAAGGTACAAACAGCGACTCTTCACTTTGGGCTTCGCCGCACCTTCTTCCATAGATTTATATTATAATTCACTTTCAGTGCAATACTTCAATGCAAATGACAAAACGGCCCCCAATTAAATCACGGAGAGCCCAATAGTCCGCACCTAATGAAACACAAATTGAAGGAAAATAATAAGATAATTCTTTTGTTGTATCATCCAAGTTTCTCTTAAACCTAAAAGGGGTTGTTGGTTACAAATATATCAGCTCAAAATAAGATTTATTTGGTTAATTAGGTTAATTAAAAAAATATTGTTAGTTAGTGAAATTTGAGTTTATATTAAAATAAAATAATTAAAGTTAATTTGATATAAAAGTATGAGAGCGATGATGTGAAGTAGTGGTTAGCTAAAATTATTTGAGTGAATGAATAGTGAATTAAGGTTGATGAAATGTGTAAAAATTATTAATTGAAATTATTTAATTATATTGATGTTATTGATGATATTGAAGTTGAGTTAAATTTTGAGTATAAAGTGATATGAATTGAGTATATGCAAACACACCATAAGTGTCCAGCCCTCATTAATTCACGGAAGTAAATCGCGGAATGTGTCCAAGTGAAGCCCAAGTTCCAATGTTGCTTATACTTCTCGCTTAAAAAAAAATCTCACTAAAATGTATCTTGCGAAAATCGAATAATTTTAGTGGTATTACATTAGTTGAATGGATAATCTAATATTGATGCTACTTATATTCAAAATATCAATTGATTGTTAAATATATCTTAACTTTTCTTTTTTTTTAAGTGTGAGTTTGGTTGGATGGATTGTGCAGGATATTACACAATTTAATAATTTAGCCATTCTATTAACATGTTTGGTTTCAATAAATAAGCCCTTGAAAAGGACATGGCTCGGTTAATTATTAACATTTTTCAGTATTTGGTATCCCACCCCAGACACATCCAATTTTGAGTAGAAGTTAACAAGGGCCGAGGGATTGTCCGAGAGAGAGGGAGTTCGCGAACTGGCTGTGCAAGGAGAGGTGGCGGAGGTGTAGGGGGTCGGCATGCGGCGGAGGATCGAGGCGGTGTAGAGGGTGGCTATAGGGGAATGTGTGGCGGCGGATTTGAGGGTTTGGCGAACGAGCAGCGGCTCGAGGTTTTGGAGGCGGTTAAGTATAATTTGACAGTGGATTTGCTTGGTCTGGTCGACGGTGAGGGACTTGTCCAGCAAGGTCGTTAGCTTTGAAACTTGCATTTGGGTAAAAATTTGAAGCAAAGGGGATTATGAGTTTTTTTATCAGGATCAGAAGAATAATGGGATTTAAAGGGGTTGTCATTGCTTTTTCAAAGTAAAATTAGGTATATCAATAATAATGCTAAAATAGGTTTAAGAATTTAAAATTGTTTGATGAATTTACAATGTAAAACAGAATTTTGGTGCGGGCCAAGATTTGAATATTTAATTGTAAATGAAGGGATAACTTAAAGTTATAATTATCAACCCTCAACCAAATAAGTTAACGGGCAAGTTGAATTGTTGATAGCCTTTGATAAAATGGGAAATTTACATATATAGACTCCCTATAAAAAATATTTACACATTACGTTCCATATAAACTTTTATCAAAGTGAGATTTGGATGTAATTTTTTTTTTTTTTCTCATATCCNATGATGATCATTTTCCCTCTCAGCATATTTCTCACGGCGAAAGAGCCGCAACTAAAACGAAAATTCGAAAAAAAAATAAATACCAAATTTGATACCTTGAATTAAGACATTCACGATTTCAAAATGTCAAACGGTTAATCAACATCTTGAATTCGAAAAAAAAAAAATCGCCCAACCACCAAATATATGTTCAGATATACTGTACATATACATCAGATAAACATGACCTGACAGTTCTCTATTATTAACCGTATAGTTATACATAATATAACCACATATAAACAATTCTGAAACGGGCTTAAACTTAAGACACAATTCTGAATGACTGCAAAATACAAATTGAATGTAGTTATACATAAGATAAACAACATATAAAAAAATTCTGAAACGGGTTTAAACATAAGACACAATTCTGAATGACTGCAAAATACAAAGTGAATGTAGTTATACATAAGATAAACAACATATAAACAATTTTGAAACGGGAATAATTACACAATTCTGAATGACTGCAAAATTTAAATCGATTGTAGTTATACATAAGATAAACAACATATAAACAATTCTGAAACGGGATTGATTGACCTTACCACTCCCAACGTTACCCCTTCATCTCCTCAACGAGCTCTGGTGCATCTTCGACGTTGCACGGGTGAATCATAGAATTGCTCGAAGCCGATCGACAGATTGGTCGATTTTTTAGTTCTTATTTTGTATTTGAATGGAGATATGAACCATAACAAGTAAATAGAGGAGTTGGTCGTCGAGAGCCATCGAAACCCTTGATGGGGATGGGTGGTTTACAAATTGATAAAAAAATCTGAAAAAGAAAGAAAGAATAAAAAATAGAGGAGATTGATTGATACTTGGCTGCCGATTCTGCCTTTCCCTTGTGTGATTTGACCCGCCGCGTAAAAAAATAGATAAAGAAGGAAGAAAGAGAGTAGGGTTATGCAAAGTTCGAGAGAGAGAGAGAGAGTGGAGTTGTGATGGGAACTAAATATACAAATTAAATTTCTCGTATTTGTGATGAAAATATTAGTATTTCGTAATTTTAATATTATTTGCCAAATCATTAGTAAGGGGAGTAATTTTCTCTGATAAAATCAAGAATATTATATCAAGCCCAATTAGCCTTGTTTTCAACCAAACGAACTCTAAGAGTACAACATAATCTATATATATAATGGTAGCCAAAGTTTCTAATAAAACTTAACGTATCATATTTACGTTTTTTTTTATTTTAATTATCAATGCAATGTAACGTGCATCTCTATCTACAATCCTTTTTCTTTTTTATTCTCAAAATTCAAATTTTTTGATATGATTTCGCACATAAAAATTTATAATAATTGTTTGACTTCTCAACTTTTACCCAAATATTTTTTAGTTACTTGTGATTTCAACACNTAATAATAATAATAATAATAATAATAACAACAACAACAACAACAACAACAATGATATTGATAATAATAATAAATAAATAAATAATTTCCAGTCAATTAATTACAATTTACGTCATAAATATTGTGATTCATATCCAAGTTATATAAGTTATATTTATATTGTCTATTTTACTAATTTTTAAAATATGAAAAATGTGATATACTCAGTATCTAACTTATACATGTAAATATTATATACGTAAGTATTATGTATAATATTTTATTTGCGTTTATGCATGTTCACAGGATCGACTACTTATATAGGTTGAATAACATTGTACTCGTTCATAACTCAGTTAATTCAAAAATTGATTAATTGATATTCATGTAAATAGTTAACTGATAAAATTACGACATTGTATGCTATATTATAATTATTTAATAAGACATAGAAATAAATTAATGTGAATGAATAGGAACATGAATGAAGATAAATTAGAAATGTAAGAGAAGAGATTGGAGGAACAAACATATTAAACCGGACCAGTCGCCTACCTAGGCGTTAGGCGACACTTGTGCGCTATCTAGGTACCAGTATGATTTATTTATATAATTTAATTTATTTCTAAATTTTAATAAAAGAAGAGATTTTGATTTTTATACTGAAATGTACAATAATTCTAAAAATTAAAACAATAATAATCATGTAAATTAATATAATAATTATGAGTATATGATATTTTTACTTAGCAATATTAATTAGTATACATTATAAAATGTATTTTATAAGTTATGCACGATGATAAATATAAATAATTCCATTAATATTTTTACTAACCTGCCTAGGCCCGCCCTAATTTGCGCCTAGACACTATGCGCTTGACCCTAGCCCCCTATCTAACAAACGTCTAATGCCATTTAGAACCATGTTATAAATATGAAGAAATATACGTTATCCAACATGAAACGAACTAGTTAACAAACATGAAATCATTATTAGGCCATCTCCAGCCCTTATCTCTACTCTAGCGCGGACTTTACTCTACTCTAGAGTAGAGTTGAACATTCATCTCCAGCCCTTATCTCTACATTTTACTCTACATTAAATATATTATTTTTTATTCATTTTTTATTTCAAATAAATTGGTATATATGTATATTTAATTTTATATAAAATATTAATTACTCAAATAATAAAAATATATTTTATTTATTTTTATTTCGAATAATTTTCTATATATATGAATATGTAATATTATATAAATGTTTATTACCCAAATAGTAAATAAAAAAAAAATTATGGTTTACACACTAGACCATATATGGTTTAGACCATATATGAATTAGTGCAAATTTACACACTAGACCATATATGGTTTAGACCATATCTTCACATTTAAAAAATAATTGTAATAAATTGAATTTCTTAAAGAAGATACATATACATCTATGTACCGATTGAATCAAAACTGTTACTTTTGAAAATATATGAATTGGTTCATATTTACACACTAGACCATATATGGTTTAGACCATATATGAATTAGAGCAAATTTACATACTAGACCATATATGGGTTAGACCATATCTTGTGCAAATTTTATTATGTATATATATGATCTTAGCCATTGATCTTTAGATAAGAATCCTACGGTTGGTTCAAATTTATTATCTTTTTTATTCATTTTTATTTCAAATAAATTCTAATATATGTATATTTCATCTTATATTCATTTTTTGGTGGTGTTTTAATATTAAAAAATTACAAAATAAAATTAATATATATGAGTTCAAACAGAAGGATACAAATTACATAATACAATGAAAAAAAATAAAAAAGCATTACAAACAACGATTACAATAACATTACAACTAATTTTCTGAATTAGAAAATTTCTCCCATAAATGCTCAATCAATGCATTACGAAGGTTGATATGAGCTTCTCTATCTCGAATTTGTCTGTATCGAGCAACAAATGCTTGGAACTGAGAAGCTTCAGTACCAACCATTTCAACATCAGGGATTGGGGCTTCTATCGCAGCTTCAATCGGTGCAGAAAGATCTCGTTCATCCTCAATTATCATATTATGCAAAATAATACATGCAGTCATTATATCTTGTAAGTCATTTTTACTCCAAAATCGTGCAGGATTAGCCACAATAGCAAATCGACTTTGGAGTACTCCAAATGCACGCTCCACATCCTTTCTGCATGCTTCTTGTTTCATTGCAAAATATTTTTTTTTTCTGACTCCGTGGGTCACGAATAGTTTGGACAAGAGTTGCCCATTTGGGATATATATTATCTGCTAAATAATACCCCATGTTGTACTCTTTACCTTGAATGACATAATGTGCGGGAGGGGCAATTCCTTGAGTAAGGTCAGAAAATAAATGAGACCTCTCTAACACATTAATATCATTGTTGGATCCAGGCATACCAAAGTATGCATGCCATATCCAAAGATCATAATCAGCTATAATTTCTAGAATAATAGTTGGAGATTTACTACGTCCTGTATATGCACCTGCCCAAGCTGTTGGACAATTTTTCCAACGCCAATGCATACAATTCAGACTACCTAACATTCCTGGAAAGCCACGTTGCTTACCGACATAAAGGAGTCTAGCAATGTCATTGGCGTTGGGAGAACGTAGATATTGCGCTCCGAATATCTCTACAACAGCACGACAAATTTCTTCACGCATTCAATTGCGGTGGACTCTCCAATATTTATGTATTCATCTGTCGCATCTGCTGGTACAACGTATGCTATTATCCGAAGCGCAGCAGTTAACTTTTGATAGGTAGACAATCCGAGTCTACCAACTGCATCTCTTTGCTGCAAAAAATAATCATCATGACTTTTAACTGCATTTGCTATACGAAAAAATAAATTTCTAGACATCCGAAAACGTCTACGAAACATGGCTTCATTAAATTTTGGGTTTTCAGAAAAATAATCGTTAAAAAGACGATTTGCAGCTGTTTCTCGATCGCGAAATATTGTTTTTCGACCAGGAACTGAACCTCCATGGCTTTGACCGCCTTGTTGAGTTCTAAGAAATTCTTGCACAAGAATATTATTGTTGTAAATTTGTTGTGCTAGCAGATGTTGCTCTGTATCATAACTATCTAGTAGTTGTTCAAGTTCATCATCAGATGAACTTGAAGAAGAAAATGCATAAGAAGTACC